TTTTTTTTTTTTTTTTTTTTTTTTTTTTGGTAGTACCAGGGATCGAACTGAGGATCCTGTGCATGCCAGGTGTGGCACCACTGAGCTACATCCCTGGCCCAGTCAACAACTCTTATACTTTTGGAAATCCACATTTCTTAGAGGAGGCTTGGCATGGTGGTGTATGCCTGTAATCCCAGCATTTGGGAGTTTGAGCCAGCTTAAGCTGTCTTCAACAAACAAATAATCTTCTCTCAACAAACAAACAAATAAACAAAAACAGAAAAAAAAAATCCCGTAATTTCAAGAAGAGAAATCTGGAACAAATTGCCATACGCTGACATATTTGGGACCTATGCCCATGGCCAAACATGGTGTCCTATTTAAAAATTGAAGCAAATAAAAGTAAAAACAAGTATTTGTTGAAAATTTTAGTCACATCTTAGGATATTTGTGAATCAGTTGTGGCCTCTCAAAGTTAGGACTGGAAGTCCTTCTTCAAACCGGATGGTTTGAAACACCCAGAAACCAAACAAACCCACAGCTCTGTTATCAGTCATCAAGCTTGGCAATCAGCCTTTCATTCCAGTGAGGCACACACTGGCCTCTCCAGCCATGATCTCATTGGGCTTGCTACAAAGGATGACCTGGGCTGATGGAATTTAGCTTTCCATTTCTTGCAGCCTGAGTCCCATCACAGATCAAAATAATACAGACTTGAGGTGCACTCTGAGGTTCTACAGGAGTTTTGGTTAGAGCTTCAGCCCCAAGGGCACCAGGAGAACAATAGTTTTCCCATTAGCTAGTCCCTGGTTCATTACACTTACCTGGGATGGGTGGTATCTGTTGTTAGGTGATCATGGCACACTGTGTGTAGGAGAGTCATGGTTCTTCCGGTATTGGGAGATAAAAGAGAATTAGTGTGCATGTGGTAGGATTAGATATTCAGAGGACTTCTTTGCCATCACATTTTCCACTTGCCAGTCCCTACTGTCTTTTTCAGTGAGTAAGATTTTTGAGGAGATGGGTACAAAGAAAAGGAAATGAAGACAGAAAGTTTGCCCAGTCCAGACAGACACAAAATTGCCAAACTAATCCCTGGTTTATGCACCAGGAGAGCTGAGAAAGGAATCTCTACTGCCTACTTAGAGTTCCCAGGCTTCATTCCGATGAATGCCCTTCCATTGCACCTGATGCCTAATTCTGCTGAGTCTTATTTTCATCCTTTTCAGCCTAGCTCCCGGTTCTCTGTCTCCTTCCTTATTTCACCTTTGGATTGAGGACTGAAACCTACAAAGCTACAGCCTCACCTTTCTTGATATTAATGACTCTTGAGTCTCTATCCTGCCTGGGCTCATTGTATGTTTGGATAACCTATCTGACACAGACCCTGCTTTCTCCAAGATGCCTCCTTTGGGTTCTTCTCGTCCTCCAAGAGAGAACAACAGTAACAGTGAAGTTTTTCTGAGACAGGCAGAAAAGGGCTGCTTGAGTTGAATACATCTCAACTCATACTTCCAGCTGAACAAGTGGAGGGTTTGTGTTTCTCAGGCATCAACCAACCTCTACTTTGATCATCAAGTTATAAGGGTAGGAGTGGAATCAAGATGTACGTGTAGAGTGTTGGGAAACCTAATTGCCATAAAATTGAGTCTGAAAGATCCCCAACCCAGATAAAACCCAGGTTAGAATCCACTAAGGTATCTTGAGCCTTGAATTCAAAAGGTTTTGGGGAAGATTTAAGGATCTTCCAGGAGAAACACATGGATATAGTAATACGAAAAGTGACACTTGAGAAAAAGTTGAAATGTCTTAAGAGCGCACGGTTCCATAATTTTCCATGATTAATAGAACTTGAGGGCTGAATGACTAATATTTCCAGTACTCTCTCTCTTTTTTTTCTCACATGCTAAGCATTCAGCCTCTAATTACCAGTGTTAAGAAGTTACATACTTGGAAAAGGTTGGGCTCTTTGGATTGCAGACTCCCAGACAGATTTACATGCAGGAAGTTTATTAGGGAGTACTTATGGGATCAATACCAGTAGGGGGAAGAAAAATAAACTGGGTAGAGTAGGAAGTCAGACTGCAAGGAAATGTTAATGAAGGCCTCAGCTGACCACGCTAGATGTTCTGAAGATGGAGGGATGCCAGTATTGTCCTGAATTGATATGGGAAGCCAGGCCTTTTTAATCTCTGCATTGGTTGGCTGGTCACTGGGTGCAGCCTGACTCTGACTTGGGAGTGTGACCAGGGTAAGGTGACTGTGACCATCTTCCAATGAGGAAGTTCTCACGTGTGCTCCAGTGAGTGATGTCCAACAACTTTCTAAGAACTGGTGGGGACTGGGGAGGGTTAGTCCTTCAGTTCCTGAGGACACCTTTAGATGATTTAACACAGAATCTATGACAGAGAACAAATATTTATAGGGAAAAAACCAATAATTCTTGGTTGATCAGGGATTATGAAAGCAAAGTGCTGAATGTGCCTCTCATAAGGAGAGTCTGGACTGCAACTGAGACCCATCAATAGTTGTCTGGCTGCTCACCAGTTGGAAAGGCTGTGTTTTACCTGTCTGGATTCCTTGGCTCTTTACAAGTATTCTGTTTGATTTTCAGTGTCTTGTGGACTATTGGGCACATGACAGTATTGACTAACCATGAAAATAAAGGCCAACTATTGCATCAGAGGCCTGTTGTCGCACGAACTGTTCTGAAGCAAAACTTAATGTAAGAGAGGTTTGAAAGAAAAGTTCTCTTTCTACCAGTAAGAGGCCGTATGTATGAGTATGTACCAACTTCCCAAAGTGAATATAATTACTATGTATCAGAGATATATACTAATATAAAATGTTCGCCTCTCAATCCATCTGCACGTGTGTGTGTGTGTGTGTGTGTGTGTGTGTGTGTGTGTGTATGGGTGTTGCTTATAGTATAGAATAACTACTCTATTGTTTAATATTTAAACAAATAGGGCTGGGGATTTAGCTCAGTGGTGCTGAACCTGCCTTGAAAGCGCAAAGTCCTGAGCTTGATCCCCAGTACACACACAAAAATAATTTAGATATCCCTCAGTATAATAAATGCCTATGTTGTTGAGATGTCATTAAAATGAGGTGTTATCTACCTAGGGAATTTGTGAAATGTACTAATACTTTCAAAGGTACAAAATGTGCAACAAATGTTATTCTTATTTTTTTAACATAAGGTGGAAAAAAAGCTTTACAATGGAATTTTATTTTATAGGATACTATTTTTAGGTAAAATATTATTTGGTCCTAAAAAGGAGCAAAATAGCCAAGCATGGTGGCATTTGCCTGTAATCTTAGCACTCAGGAGGCTGACAGGAGTTTGTGAGATTGAGGCCAGTCTGGACTACCCAGTGAGTTCAAGTCCAGCCTGAACTACAGTGAGTTCCTGTCTCAAACAAGACAAAACAAAACAAAAACACAAAGAGGAAGAAAATATTTTTTTGATTCAAGAAAATAAATTTTTAATGGGGCAGTAAATAAAAACTTCAAAAATCTCACCTAGAGACAGGGAAAGATATTCTTTTTTAAAAAAATTTAATTTATTGGTGCATTCTAGGTAGACAGTACAGTTACATTCATTACTGGGATCTTGTACCTTTACATGCCAGGGCTTGGTTCTCATTTTTTCCCCTTGTCCCTGCCCTCCCTTCACCCTCCCCTCCCCTCCCCCACTTCAAACACTTTAATTCCATTTTTACATTTTCTCATATTGTTTTCCTTTTCCCTTATTCCCCCTTCCCTATCCTTCTCACTGTCCCTACACCTTTGGTCCTTTTCTTCCTGTTTGCTAATTGTCCCATTAGGATCTTGAGTACTATTATAGTTTTTCACACCAGAGATACTATTCAGTATTTGCATATGTGTGCCTTATTTTTTCACTTAGAAATATATCCTCAAAATGTACCCATATAACTATGAGTGAATCTACTTTCTCATTCTTTATGGCTGAGTAGTATTCCATTTTGTAGAAAAACCACATCTTCTTTATCCAGTTTCCAATTGATGGGTAGATGGGCTGTTTCCAAGTTTTATCTATTACAAACTGTGCTGCTATAAACATGGGTGCACATATATCACTGTGGTATGATTCTTTCAATTCTTTCGGAAGGATACCCAACAGAGGGACGGCTGGGTCAAATGGAACCTCTAATCCTAGTTCTTTGAGATATCTCCATATTGATTTCCACAGTGGTTGCACCAGTCTGCACTCCCACCAACAATGGAGAAGGGTTCCTTTCTCCCCACAACCCTGCCAACATTTGTTATTGTGTGATTTCTTGATAGCAGCCATTCTTTGTGGGGTGAGGGGAAATCTCAGTGTTGTTTTCATCTGCATCTCTCGAATGACCAGTGATGTGGAGCATTTTTTCATGTATTTACTTGCTTCTTTTACTTCTTTGTCTGAGAAAT